CTGCGTCCTGCGCGTCACAGTTCAGACAACCAGGGTCGCCCTAACATCCAACAATCCCGAATGGGTATGACTGCCGGATGGCTCGAAAGCGGGTATTTGACGCTTTCTCCGAGCGAGCAACATAAGTCCGACTAGAATTGTGACCCAGTATTTCTACTCAGCATAGGTGGCCTTCACTTGGAAGGAAAAAATTGAACCGAACCGAGTGGGAGTCGTCCCGTAAAGCCGTTTGAAACTCGAGCCGACCAGATGATGTCAGCTCGGAGTGGGAGCTTTCCACGATCTGCACTCTCGCAGGTCCAGCCGAACATCTTAAACAAATGTTTTTTGGCTCAAGGTTTTTGTAACGGTGCATAGTTTACGCTTCCTGTTTGTATGACATACGGCGGTATTAATCTGACTGCAGTAAGACCCGTTCGCTACCTATAGCCGCCATATTTGGTGCTTCGATTCAAGGCCGTGCTCTTTCATCAACTCGAGATAGTAAACTGGTAAATGGTCCAGATATCTCAAGAGGCTTCAGACACGCTTCGCGTGGTAGATACCGTTCGCTGGTTACACGACATCACCTTTCCATTCCTCACATTGGCACCGATGCTGCAGCCGAGTTCAAAAGGTGCTCCTTTTAGTCCCTGCATTTTGGGCTGTCCCTCCCTTGTCTTACTGTGTAGACACCCCAGTTTGGATCCGGGCCCCGCTAACGACGTCCAAAGACTTGTGGTGCATTGGTGCGTAACTTACAAAGATTTATATATCACCGGATATTCGCCAAGATGACTTGGCGGAGATAAATTTAAGCGAGAGTCAGTCAAGGCAGCCTGTCTACTCTCAGCTATGCCAGGTGCTCAGGACACGATGGACGTGATCATGATGAGACTCATATACACGGCTGGAAAGGTTCAGATCCAGGGGTCAAAGCCTCCAGTGGGCAGGCCTATCATGAAGAAAGCACATGTTGTAAGGTTACAGCCCCGCAAGGTCGAGCCTTGGGTCAAGCCATTTGCAAGTCACATACCATCATATGAAGGGCACACGAAGCCTTGGGGAAAGTAGGGGATTGATGAGCTGCCGACATACATGCGATAGGCTGTTTCACATTACAAGAGTACGGTTGCCTGGTTGCCTAGGCACGATAACGCTCCATCCGGAGGAATAACCTGAAAAGGTTGACTCATTGCTGCAAGGCAAGTCAAAAACTCATTCGTGACGGCAAGCACGACTATTCTGGTCATCTGTCCCGTTTTTGCCTGCTAAGTCGGATTTTCCTTGTTCACTGAGCATATGAAAACTAGAACTCGCCGGTCGACCTGCATATCAAATATTCATCACAATGATTTGCGATCCGGGGAGCCGAGTCAACAAAGAATGATGTTCCATGAACCCTGGAGAGTAATAATGCCGATTGAAACAAACTAGAGCCCAGGGCGGAAAATTGAGATAGAGGGTGTGGGAGAAGCCGCGAGGCCTTATTGAGGGGGTGGTTTTGGGAGCTTAACCCTTGACTTGTTAATGGAGGTGAGGGGGCCGAGCAGATGGTCGAAGCCAAGGAACCGTGGAGCCAGGGAGCCAGGTGGTGTGGTGATGCATTGCATGTGGAGCGGCAGGGGTGAAAACGATCAGTCATGACTTGCGCAGATGCTGATTGGCATGTTGTCTGCAACAGCGGCAAGCAGCTGACGCAGACTGCAACTTGCAAATCACGAACGACACCGTCCACAAACCAGTAAACCACACTCCTACTGCCGCGACCTCCACCACCACGGCGTGGCAGCCGGGGTTGTCAACCCCAGCTCCCCATGCGGACTCCAACCTTCGGAACCTTGTGAGCGAGTGTCTGAGTGGAACCTCCGGATTCCCTTTGTCCCGCGTGGCCCGCGTGGCTACTTGGACTTCATCCAGATATCCCTGAAAAAAAAAATAAGAAAAAAAAAAACCAACTTCGGGTGAATGTCAGCATCAGCGCCGAAGGTTCCCATATCCATAGAATATGATTTATGTGGCCCTGCGCAGCAGAAAGCAGATGCTAATATCGTACAGAATTGTGAGAGCGGAAATTCTGCATGTGAGGAAACACGGCGGTAAGCGAGAAAGGTTGATAACGATGCCCTGTTCATGAGATTCATTCCCCTTCCATCCTCACTAGGTACGCGACTCGTCTTTCTGAAATGCCAACGCTCAGTTTCAACAGCCAGGAATAACTGATACCCGAAAGTTCTCTGAATTATCAGTTTCCCGGAAATATCAAGCCACATAAAGAAAAGTTCAGTCCGGTATCCGAAGGCATGCATCACTGGTGGTATCAGGGAGTAAGCAGCCCACCTGGATTTGGAAGCACTATTATATTCGATATCTTCCGGGACCCTAGCATTTGGAGTTATAGGCCTGCACCCTCTTCTCATGATGGCGCCTCTACCTACACTACATATGCAACTCATGTGCATATTTTGGCTGCATGTCACAACATCCCTCGCTGATCCAGTGCCTCGTCCGACCAACATCGGAAAGCAATCATTGGAACGGCACCGCACGGCACAATGGACCTAACTTTGGCCCTTTGGTTCCTTTGCTCTCCCGCGATTTCTTCTGGAAGATCTACCTACCCTTGCTCACCTCTACCCCCAGTCATCCCTTATAGCTATCCCATCTTCCAGACATATACCGTGAACAGTTAGTTTCGAATGCCGCGATATCCTCAAAGAGCAAGGTGGAGTTGAGCAGATCTGGGCCGAGATGGCCGTCTGATGTTGCTGAAGCGTCTATGGGGGTACTGTACCTACGTCAACCGGCTTATGAGCCTCTGCCCAAACCTACGAAGATACCACTGCCCCTGAAATGGGGTAAGATTGGCGAAGTGATGAACCGGCTCCATCGTTACATGTCCATAATGTTAAGCTTCTGTCGGCCATCATGACCTCGTCTTTGCTATTTTCAGCACTTTCCAAGGCGAAGAAGCAAGCTCATAGTTCACTTGACGGGCAAGAAGATCGTTTCCGCTACTGTATCTTTGTGTCCGACCGTCCTGGCCAAATCAAAGGGGCTTTGCTATATTCTACAGAGCGAATGCTACAAGAAAGGATACCAGCAGTCTCCCAAACCGAAATGAAAATGACGAACGAACCGACAAGTTAAGAAAATCTTGAATACTTACGCCTCTTGCATCGAAATGTCTCAGACAGAACAAGCCATAACTCTTCCCATGTGTGGAATGCAAAGAGTCACAGGGATATCGTGAAGCCTACGGTACCACGAAGCACAGACTACCTGCCAGTCCACACCAGCGTGGTTAGGTCTCAAAAGGATGTTGCGGAAGGGTTACATCCGACTTGACCGGCCTAGCGACCCCTTCCGCCCCCCCCTTGCCCCCCCCTCCGCCTCCCCATCTAACAGTCCCTCCCTACTTACCGTTATACCTTCAAACTACCTAAGCTACTGGATAGGCGAGACAAATTCAGCACGTTGTAGTGCACACACCTCCAAATCTCTACGTACCATGCTCACATACACTACATCTTCATCACATCCTGACATCTTATAATGCCCCAAGTCCATGTCTCAAGTCTTCTTGGAAGCGAGTGAGTTCCGCAGGCACCGACCGCACTGCAGTGGGTTGTGATGATGCGACCATGCCAACCCCCAAGCTTTAATCTGGGAAAATAGGCCGGTTGAAAGTTGAGTGCAGATCATATGATCTGGGGGTCGATTTTGCTACTTTAAACTGCGCAGAAATCGAAGCATTGACGCTTTATGATAACGATCTCTGAAACCTCTATGATAAACTGCCCGAACGGAATGGTAAGGTTCAATGTGGATAGATCAAGGCCGACGTCACGGGGTCAAGGGGTCCGCTACTTACCTACGTATCAGACCGAGGTGCTGATTCTGTAACACGAAATATCTAGCATCTTTGGGAAGGGGGAGCTCATGCAGATGATATTGACAGCTGTCGTAGTTATACTGCATATAAGATGTGTAACATGATGGGGGTATGCATGACCGGTTCAGCAGGTCTTGTGGAAGGATGGATGGATGAATGAATGTGTGGGTGGGTGGATGAGAGGTTCGATAACGGCTCTAGGAGACGGATAGAATGCCGCTTTTTAACATTGGCCACTTTGACGCGACTGACGAGAAAAGGGTAGAAAGGCAATTGGAAGTCAAACCAAACCCTACTACCCATAGTCGCTATAGATGGAGATATCTGAATGGACATGTGTAGCTGAGTAAGTCTATAGGAGATAAACGCACAGTCCACGCTGGACAGACCATCCTTATCCTATCTTTGATGGATTGCCCAAAACCAAGCATGTCGTATTATAGCCAAAACTTGATCTGATCTGATCTGGTCTCATTTGATAAAACCAAGAGAATGCTTTCACCACATCCAGACTATAAGCCCACTAGATTTTGTACAATATATGTCTCCCGCGGTATAAGCTATTTCTAGGCTTCGGGGTATGTCGGTCAGGACGATTCCATCGCCCATAAGTCTACGTTTCTAGACACTCGGCGGGTGCTTGCATCCACTTGCTGAGGGTTGCTATGTGCGTGCATGTGTGAAGTTCGAGATGTGCGACTGTAACCCGGGTCGGTTTTTAGGTGCCCTGTACCTTACCGAGATATGGAAGTGAGGTGTGTGTGAGTGGGCCAGTGGCCGGCCACCGAGATGAGATGATTGATGGTGACAGGATGGCCGAGAGTGACGAACGGCGGGAGTGTCCGTTTGTCACCTGTCGGGGAATACACGTGCTGCCCGTATTTATGTATTTTTGGTATGCAATACGTACGTCTTGGTGGTGTGTAACTTGGAGCAGGTCCCAGTGGAGCGGCTACAAAGACGCGTCTAAGTCAAGCGCGGACCGGCCGCTGATTAGCTGGACAAGCGCCCCCACCATTACCTAAGTCCTGGTTTGATAGTGCAGGGCAACCACCTCAATCGTCCATGCGGTAGTGGCGGCAGCCATCACCACCTAAAAATTCCATCCCCAGATCAACAACTTCAACTTTTCCTTCGCCCGTTTGCTGAACCACCCGGCTGCCGTCAATCCTGACGACAACGACCGCAACCATGGCGAGCTTAAAGAGATCCTTCGAGTCCGACCCGTTTGCCCAGAACATTTCGAGCAAAGTCTACGTGCGCTCGACGAAGAGTGGCAAGGTGCAGAAGATTGTGCGCGAGGTTTACCTGCGTCAAGATATCCCCTGTTCTTCCAAGCTCTGCAATGCCTGCCTCAAGATCGCGCCCAGAGATGCCGCCAACCGTCCGATTCCTTTTGTACTCTCAGAGAAGCCCGCCGGCACCAGCGTCTTCACACAGGGCCATTACATCGTCCCCGACACCAACGCTTTCCTCAGCGCCATGGACCTCTTCGAGCAGAGCTCTGCATTCTACGATGTAATCGTCCTACAAGTTGTTCTCGAAGAAGTCCGAGCCCGCTCACTGCCGCTGTACAACCGACTCGTCAGCTTGACCAAGAGCGAAGACAAGCGATTCTACGTCTTCTTCAACGAGTTCCGCCTCGAGACCTACGTCACCCGCGAAGAGAACGAGTCCGTCAACGACCGCAACGACCGCGCCGTACGCAAAGCAATCAAGTGGTACAACGAACATCTTTCCAAGGCATCCAAGAAGGCACCCGCCGTGGTTATGCTGAGTAATGATCGGGATAACCTGCGGAAGGCCAAGGAGGACGGTATCCCGGCCTACTCTCTGGCTAACTATGTCAGCCAGCTCAAGGATGGCGAGCAGCTTCTGGATATGATTCCAGAATTGGAGGAGCGCGATGCGCTTATCGAAAAGAAACCCGGACAGTTCCTTTACCCCGAACACTATACCCTGTCCAAGATAAACACGGGCGTCAAGAATGGCTTGCTTCACCAGGGCATCTTCAACGTCTCGCCTTACAACTACCTGGAAGGCTCCATCAGAGTTCCTGCGTTCCCCAAGGCGCTACTAATATTGGGCAGAGAAAACATCAACCGTGCCGTTGATGGTGACTTGGTTGTGGTGGAAGTTCTGCCAAAGGACCAATGGAAGCAGCCGTCAACCCAGGTCATTGAGGAGGAGGCTGTCACTATGAACGAGAATCCAACGGAAGAGGGATCTGACCTGATTTCAGAGAAGGAGCGCAAGGTACTACAAGAAGAGGCCAAGCGGACGTTGGCCAAAACCACCGAAGGTCATGCTCTGCCAACCGCAAAGGTGGTCGGTGTAATCAAACGGAACTGGCGTCAATATGTCGGCCATATCGACCAGTCTTCAGTCAGTTCATCGGCAGCGCAAGGACGGAAGCAAGACAGTGTCTTTGTCATCCCGATGGACAAGAAGATTCCCAAGATCCGCCTGCGTACTAGGCAGGTCGCCGAGCTTCTAGGAAAGAGGATTCTTGTCACGATTGACGCTTGGGACAGAACATCTCGCCACCCGACTGGTCACTTTGTCCGGTCTCTTGGTGAGCTCGAGACGAAGGCTGCTGAGACCGAGGCGTTGTTGCTCGAGTATGATGTGCAGTATAGGCCCTTCCCCAAGACTGTCCTTGACTGCCTTCCCAAGGAGGGTCACGATTGGAAGGTACCTACAAGTATGGACGACCCGGGATGGAGAGACCGACAGGACCTTCGCGACCTTCTCATCTGCAGTATCGATCCTATCGGCTGCCAAGATATTGACGATGCGCTCCACGCTCGCGCTCTCCCCAACGGCAACTTCGAGGTCGGTGTACACATTGCTGACGTGTCCCACTTCGTGAAGCCCAACAATGCCATGGATACCGAAGCCAGCATCCGTGGCACAACGGTCTACCTGGTCGACAAGCGCATTGACATGTTGCCCATGCTTTTGGGTACTGATCTATGCTCGCTCAAGCCCTACGTCGAGCGTTATGCTTTCTCTGTCATCTGGGAGATGAACTCCAACGCCGACATTGTCGGATCGAGATTCACCAAGTCGGTCATCAAATCTCGTGAGGCCTTCAGCTACGAACAAGCACAGCTGCGCATCGACGATGCTTCGCAACAAGACGAGCTCACAAACAGCATCCGGACACTACTTGAGCTTTCCAAGAAGCTGAAGCAGAAGAGGTTGGACGCCGGTGCCCTCAGTCTCTCCTCCCCCGAGATCAAGGTCCACATGGAGTCCGAGACTTCCGATCCCATCGACGTCAAGACCAAGGAACACCTCCCTACCATGTCTCTCGTCGAAGAGTTCATGCTTCTCGCGAACACCAGCGTGGCCGCCAAGATCTACGAAGCCTTCCCGCAAACCGCCATCCTGCGTCGTCACGCGGCCCCACCCAAGACCAACTTCGACGAGCTCGCCAACCAGCTGCGCGTCAAGAAGGGTCTCGACCTTTCCGTCGAGTCCTCGCGCGCCCTCGCCGATAGCCTCGACCTGTGCGTCGACCCCAAGGAGCCCTTCTTCAACACGCTCATCCGCATCATGGCCACGCGCTGCATGATGTCGGCCGAGTACTTTTGCTCGGGCACCCAATCCTACCCAGAGTTCCGCCACTACGGCTTAGCCTCTGAGATCTACACGCACTTCACGTCGCCCATCCGCCGCTACGCCGATTTAGTTGCCCATCGGCAGCTCGCCGCCGCGATTGAGTACGAGGCCGTCCACCCGGCCGTCCGCTCCCGTGGCCGCCTTGAGGCCGTGTGCAAGAACATCAACGTGCGCCACCGCAATGCCCAGCTGGCCGGCCGTGCCAGCATTGCTTACTATGTCGGCCAGGCCCTGCGCGGCAAGGCTACGGAGGAGGACGGCTTCGTCATGAAGATCTTTAGCAATGGCTTTGTTGTGCTTGTGCCGAAGTTCGGTATCGAGAGCTTGATTCGTTTGCGTGACCTGGCGGAGCCGGAGCCGGCGGCGACGTATGATGCCGAGACGTACACGCTGACCACGACGGGAAGCAGGGAGCTTAAGGTGGAGTTGTTCCAGAAGGTCAGGGTGAAGGTGACGGATCAGAAGGATGAGACGACGGGGAAGAGAGGGGTCAAGATGGAGCTTGTTAGTACTTATTAGATTTGGAGATGGATGTTTCAATATTTGAGAAGGGGTACAGGTTAGGAATACCCATGATGGACTTTTGTAGAGCAATACATTGTTTTTTTTTTACTTTCGGCTATCCAAACGTTCATGAAGTCATTTTCGAAATGTCGTTGCTTTCGAACTCGTTGATAGGCCATTGAAAACCAGTTCGGTATGATGAACGATGCACGAATTGTCAGAAAGAATTGAAAGCTTCACTTCCAAAAGCCTTTTGTCGTAGAGGTGTTTATGATCAGGCTATATTTGACCTATTTTCTGCCAGCCAGCCTGTCTCCCTTTTTGCTCTTTCCCACCTTGACGCCAAAACGCCTCTTCACTAAGATGTGTCCAGCTCCGGGGTTCGTTGTATTGTGTTTCTGACATGCAAAACAACAAAATACTCATTACGACATTGACCACCGAGGCAACCGAGAAAAAAAACAAGAAAGTGAGATGCTCAACAACAACTGTCAACAAACACAAAAAAAAAGGGGAATAAATCGCTTTACTGCATCTCAACATCCGGAGTCGCCGTCTCCTCCTCATCTCCCCAAAGACCATCCAGCTTGAACTCCTTGGCCCACTCGGTCACGATCACCTTCTGATCCGCTAGGGGCTCATCAGCGGTAGCAGACTTGCCGCCAGCAGGAGCAGGAGCAGTGGCGGTACCAGCCACAGCCAAGACGGGAGCATCGATCCAGCCCTGGATACGACCGTCGCGCCAGTCGGTCACGACAGTCATGGCAGCGGCTTGGATATTGGGGATACCGCCCCTGCCCAGCCTGCCGCGCTTGCGGGCAACCTGGACGAGGAAGTCCATGGTGGGATCGCCGTTGTTAGGGTCGCGCAGCAAGGGGGGAAGGTCGTACACCTTCATCATCTTGTCCATCAACTCGGGGGTGGCCGACAGGCGCTTGAGCAGCAGCGTCACGGCGGGAACCGGGTCCTCGATCTGCTTGGGCGGGATGGCATTGAGGAGCACCAGGTGGGCGTGCGCCTCGGTCTGGTTCTTGGGGGTGAAGGTCGAGTTGCCGGCAGTGGAAGGGAACACGATACCGGGCGAGTCGAGCAGTGTCAGCTTGCTGTCGATCTTGACCTGGCGGATCGAGGTGGTGACGCCGGCCTCGGCGCCGGCCGGGCAGGCGTTATGCTGGCCGCGGCTGTTGCTGAGGCGGGACAGGAGGGCGTTGATGACGGACGATTTGCCGACGTTGGGGTAGCCGATTACGCCGACCTGGATGGAGCGCTTGAGGTTGCGCGAGACGGCGTACGACTTGAGCGCACGGAAGAGAGCCGCGCTGGTGCTTTGGACGGTAATGTCGCGGTGCTGGAAGGTGTGGGCGTTGGGAGCAGGGTTGGAGGCGCGCAGCGGCAGCGTGGGGAAGTAGCGGCGCAGGTGGGTGAGCCAGCCGCGGAGGACCGGGGGAGGGATCAGATCGACCTTGTTGAGGATGAGGATGAGACGCTTGCCACCGTGGGCGGCAGCCATGACGGCGCGCTCGACGTCCCTCGAGCGGGTGCCTTCGGGATCACGGGCGTCGAGGACGTAAAGAATGACATCAGCCTGCTCGACAACCTGCTTGAAGACCTTGTCGAAGGCCTTGCGCGAGGAGGCGCCGCCGGGAACCTCAATAACGCCGGACTGTGTGGGTTCGCCATCGGTCTCGTCGTCGGACTCGTCGTCATCGTCCATCTCGTCGCCGCTCTGGAGCTCGCGGTCGTATTGCTCGGCAGCTTTCCTGGCGCTGGCCACCAGGGCAGCGAGGGGGTTCGACTCATCGTCAACGTCGCTACCATCCTCCTCCATAGCATCGTCGTCGTCCATCAGATCGTCATCGAACGCCTCGACATCACCCTCGGCGCCCGTCTTGGTGTCCTGGCCGGTCTTGGCCGCCTTGGCCATCTCACGACGCTTCTGCTCCTGTTCCTTTCTCCGGATGCGGTCCTCCTCGATCTGGTTCAACAGCTTCTCCTTGTAGGGGAAAAGGTTCGGGATACCCGGGTCCTTCTTGAGCTTGGAGCGCCATTCTGGGTTCTTCTTGGCGAGCTTTCTGTCCTTGCGTTGCTTCGCGGCCGAGGCCTTCTGGATCTTGTGCCTGAGGCGTACGGGTGTACGCTTCGATTTCGGCTCTATTGTAAAGTAACGTCAGTCAATGTGTTGATTGGAGGAATATGTCGTTCTCAGCGAAAGATTGACTGACTTTTGGGCTTTGTTATCGATCCGGCCATTTTGAAGATATGCTGCTCCTAATGTCAAAAAAGGAGGTACAGGAGGAGAATTGAGGATGGGACAGCAAGGTAAAGCAGCAAAATCCGGTCGCTACTATGGGCGGCTGTACTGATTGATGGTCGTCAAAAAATTAGAGTGGAGGAGCAGTTTGTGCCACTGCTGACCGCCTAGATAAGCTCTGATAAAGCAGGGATCCGCCGTGTTGAACTCCACCAAGATTCCAGAAGTCCCCGCTTCGTATGTGGAGATACGCGTGCCTGTAAGTTACAATCGTATTGTATGTTTCAATGGTGTTTGACCAAACGTGGAATGTAAATTACGATGATACACTTATGACGTGGTTGCGCTTGATCTCTATACCAAGGATTTATTTACTCTTTACGCAAGTAACTTGCATTGCCTTTCCAGAAAGAGGACTTTAGGTCGGTCCGTCTCAACAATCAAACACTTGTCTGCCATGACGATCCTCAAATCCACCGGACCGTCCGTCAAGGTGCAGTTCTGAATGCCATCAGTTCTGTCGTCAAGCACTTGTTCATACCACGCACACATGGACGTTGAAGGTTTTTTTTTTTTATTTTTTTATTTTTTTTTTAAAATTTTTTTTTTTTTTTTTTTTTATTTTTTTTTTTTTTTTTTTTGGAGTTTGGATCATCATGGATTCGGCAGAGCACCATGCCCGCTCGTGTAATTGATTGTCGCTTAAGCTGACAACGGCATTGCACTGTGCAATGATTATCAGCAGAGCAGACACTCCTGACATTGGGTCATCTTGGCCTACGCAGACAAAGTCCTGAAGCAAAATAGCATGTTAGCATCGAATACGAATTAAGAAAGAGGGTTGTGATGGGGAGGTAACATACCACCCAGACACTAAGCCCATCACGCTTTACATGAGGGAGTATCTTGAGAAACTCTTCCGTAGATATCCCCAATCATTTGTCGGAATTGGGTAGAGCTGCGATCATCCGGTGTCTTTGCGTTGGGCTCCTCCTGAATCCATCGATACGAGAAAAATATCAGATAGTCTGCCGAGCTCTTGGACTCACTGGTACATCCAGGAGTCTTCCAGACCTTAAACTCCTGAGCCAAACCGTCACTTGACCGTGAAAGTTTGCTTTAAGACCTCAAACATATCTCTCTTATCAGCGTCTTTGGCTAAAAACTCTGCGTAAACACGTCGGAGTTCTGATATGGACTTGTCCGGATCGCTACCTCCAGCAAGCAGGACAGACCGCAGCCGATCTTGAAGCAGCTCTCAATATCCTTTGCGGAGATTTGACTCCTTGTGCAGCAAACTCAATATGTCAGAGTCATCCAAGTCTCCGGCTTGACGGCGAAGGCTCTCAAAGACGATGTCTTGCGCGTTAGCATCTCCCGCGAAAGTTGCGTAATCAAGCGCGTTATAGCCGTGGTCATCAGTGCCGCTCATGTTTGCACCAGCATCGATGAGCTCTCGCAGGTACTGGCGATGTTCATCGAAGGGCTCCTTGCATAAAGCAAGGGAAGGCGTACACCCAACGTAGGAATTGAACTATTGCATGACCACATCCCGCTATCCGTCGAGCAGGAGCGCCCGTCCGTAAAAGAAACGACCCTTAGCCACCACATTCACGTCCTTGAATGTTCGAACCTGTTTTAGGGCTTCGTACGCGGGTTAAACCGCCTGCTTCGTGTTTTCTCGTTGCATAGTATAAAGAAGAACGGGAGAGACCGATTGTTTCCCAAGTTATCGCAACCGTCAATCGCTGTTCTCTTGTAACTGTATCCAGGTCTTGCGAGTCAATTGTATCCTTGATTTGATGGGCCCTTTCAACGCGTTCAAGGAGCTAATTTGTCGCCAATTACAACGACGACTCATCCTGACGCTGCTGGGACAGTTGCTAGTTGACCATACCGAAGTTTCCGATCGACCGGCATGCGAACCGCTCCGCCTAAAACTCCTTTGCTGTTTCATACTGAACCCGAAGCACACGCTTTGCATCATCCATCAGGTCCATGTGCCGATAGATAACGCCAAGCTCGCCACTGGCTTCGATGCGCAGCTCACTTGAGGCCGACATGGCCATTGCTTGCTCGAGCAAGTCTTTTGCCTGCTCATACTTGCCAAGGCGTCTGTATGTACCACCGAGTTTGGTAAAAACCAACTGTTTGTAACGGTCACCGTCCGGGACGGCACCGGAAGCAGCCCCTGATTCGCAAAGAGCAAGCGCACTGTTGAAGTTACGCAGCGCCAATTCCAGATTTACGCTATGCATACATTGCTGTCCTTCTCCCATCAGTCTCTCAAAGGAGCGGACTACCTCCACCATGTTGGCGAGCGACGAAGGTGGCTGGCTACCCACGTCCCGATATTGTTTGTAAGATTCTCCATCCGCAGGCCCAAGCACTGGCGCGTCTTGTATGAATCCTCGGCTGGAATCAAAGTAGAAGAGAGTCGCATGCAAGGTATCCGCTGGCACTTTGGTTCTGTGGAGTACACCGGCTCCAACAGTGTAGCTCATATCGCGAGTATGAAGCGCAGTCTCAACCTGCTTGATGTGAACAATCTTCCCGGTATTCTCGACGATGGAGTAAGACTGATGTGGCACATAGGCTGTCCCGTGACCTTTCCCTGTGCCGCTCCAGGCGATCCTGTATTGGGCATATGGCGTGTCCAGCGCACCTTTGGCTTCCGGTTCTGTAACCGCATATTGGTGATCGCGGCCTTCACCCGCAAGAATCCAGCTTTGAGCAAAAGGTTGGTGTGAATGGATAGCAAAGTCACGGTTTCCTCTGTGACCATCCGGCAGCCAAACGTGCAGTCGCCAAAGCTCGTCAATCCTATTGTCTTTGATGAGGCTGCAAAGAGGAACGCTGAGGAAGCCTTGTGCACTACGGGACGCGCCCGGTAGAAGTGGCGCAAGGACTGGGTCGGTAACTGCGTCTCTGACAAGTCCCCATACCAAGTCTAGGTCGGCGCCATCAATAGGCTGGCCCTGTCTGGCCTTGTGACGCAGCACTGAGACACCAAGTGCGAGATGGATCAGTTGCCATGATGCTTGCGACTCGGGTGAGTTATCTTTGGTTTGAAGAACGGCATTATCGAGCCATTCCCTTATCGTAAAGGTGTCCCTCTTCGGCTGGATGATGAGCCCGGTGTTTGATATGATAGATCGTGCGTGCTCTGAAATACCTTCAGACACTTTTGTAGCCGCGATAACACCAATGATAATATGGGTGAGCGCCGAGCGAGAAACATCGAGGTGTTGAGCCTCGTGACCTTCATTATCAAGCTTGTTCATAGTCATGGCTGCTGAGAGCGGGGAGATGTCAGCAATGCCATGGAGACAAATTATCGGGACTCTTTCACTGCGACTTACTGGAATCAGGCTCAGTCAAGTGAAATCAGCTGGGGTATCGGAAGCGTAACTGTGCGTGAGTTCGGGTATCAGAAGTGGAAAGGGAGATGAAGAGGGCGGCAATCGGGCATCTTTTCAGCTGTTCATGGGTTTTGATAATGTCAAAAATGAAGAGTCACAGTCTGTCCGATGCCCAAGGCATAATCCCCCGTTGGTTGTGAGCGGCTTCTGACCGTCCATTTCGTTCGAGATGTTGCCAATCGTGCCACACCACAATGGTGCTCAGCCTCGGAGGCTCCAACCAGTGAGGCAGGGCAGCAGGCTCAATTGGCCATCAACAGCCTAGGCGAAAAACGCAGCGACCAACGATCCAGAAAAGCGGTTGAAGGTCATAATGGCAAAGCTTAACTGCCACTCTTCATTGTTTGCAAGTTCAGCCTTGAAGGTAATCGGCTTGGCTGCCTGAGGGCTGACGTGATCAAAGGTGGTGTTCACGGGTGGATGACCTAAGCTGCCATGCGTTGCGGATTGTTAATGCCGAACAAAAATGGCAAGTGCCTGGCTGACTATGAGGGGTTCGTCAATCGGGATAACGACTGCCGATTCGATGCGAACAATGCCGCAGAGGGTTAGGGCTCTGGCTAATGTACTTGGCTGCCGATGCCGTCCGCCCGCCCCGAGTCATCCACGACGTCTCCCCCGGTTCCGTCTTCACAACCCGGCCCCGTGTCAACCGTTCTGATCACCGCAGCCAGGTGCACCGTCAATCTTCTGAATCATTTGGATATTCTAGCTACTACTCAGCCCGTAGGGAACAGTAGGCTCAAGGTACGTTGACACCGGCATGACTAATAATCACCCAAAAGCGCCGTCATGCTGCCAACTTGGGTGTTCTGTCTAGATCGCGACACAAAGAGAAAGACCTGCAAAGGCGCAATATCAACTATTCTTTCTGACACTTGATATAGGCAAGATGGGAAGCACCTTTATCGACACTTCGGGCGCGGACTTCTCCGCGCCCCCCGTTCAGGTCACCTTCGACGGCCTTCTCTTCGACATGGATGGCACCATCATTGACTCTACCGCTGCTGTTGAGAAACATTGGGAGGCGTAAGTCTAAATTCCTCATAAGCCTATATGGCGAAGGACAGCAAGTATGCTCGGTTTTACGAGCCCAACATGGAGATACACCCGAGTGTCTGTCCGGCCGTAAGAAGATGCAGATAGCATAAGGCAAGACAGTCAAGAAGGGAACCAGGGTATCCATTGCCACGAAGATATTAGGAGTCACCACTTCGTGAATTTGATCTCGTATATACGATTCATGAGACTTGCTGACAAATGTCAACATAAATAGCATCGGTAAGGAGATCGGGCACTCGCCCGAGGTCATCCTCCAGTAAGTCATTATCACCACCACCATACCTTCCGGTCACTCATCGATTACCGATGATTTCCAACTGACCCGTTAATCTCCTATGATCCAGGACCTCCCATGGCAGAAGATCCATTGATATTCTCAAAGAACTTGCCCCGGAGAAGGCAACTTTGGAGTGTAAGTCAGTTTGAAGTCCGAGCCGCAGGTTGGCCTGCAGCTGGTCAACCAAACCTAGGCAACACACCGCACTAACAACACTGAATCATGCCAGATGTTCAGCACATGGAGGGTCTTCTCCCTAAGAAGTATGGCAACGACGCGGTTGAGATCCCCGGCGCCCGCGCCCTGCTTCAGGCCTTGATAGATCGTAAGAAGCCGTGGGCCATCGTTACTTCAGGTACTTTGCCGCTCGTTTCTGGGGTAAGTGAACTCGCTGCTGTTACTCTTCATCCACTCCCCCTGTTAAACTTCTGCAAACTTTGTTCGAATATGTTCTTCACTCTCCATTCTTGCACATCTACACATATCTCACTCCACATAACCTCTCTCATTTGACATAATCTTCATGCCGTTTCTTGGGAGTCACGCATCATTTCATCCGTGCTTTTTGTTATCAATGGCCCTCTGTTATTCATCTGGGCTCCTCAATCCTTCATACAAGTTACCACACTTCTTTTGCAATGGTCTTCTTGCCAGAGTTGCCATTGCTTTCCCGCATTCGCCCATCAGACTCATGTTCAAATTATCTCTTGAACCACTCTTCTACCAACACTATTGATCGGTTTACCCTTGTTCTTCACTACATCCCCGTCCTATCGACTTCCAACATGGCCCCCTACATTCTCCCCGTACCATACTCTCTAATATTCATCATCCTTTTCACGGTTCAGATTACCTTCCCATATGCCATCCCCCTTTCCACCCTTCTACACCCACTCACCTAGTTTGCGCCGCTCCCACCCAGCTATCAGTATCTATCTACTCACCCCATCCACTCCTGATCCGACTTTTACCTCAACTTCCCTCACATCCCTTCCATTTTTCTTTCTCCTTACCTACCTGGTACCTGATAACCATTCAATTCTTAACTATCTCCCACATCACTTCCCTTAACCCATTCCACCCTCTTCAAGACCTCTTTACCGCCTCACACCTCACCATCATTTTCCCACTTGCTCGTATCCAACCTAGAAGCTAACACCTCAAAAGTGGTTAGACGTCCTCTCCCTCCCCCACCCCGAGCACCTCATCTCCGCCGAATCCGTCGTGAACGGCAAGCCCGATCCCGCCTGCTACTTGCTCGGTCGCGAACGCCTCAGCCTCTCAAACCCAAACGCCGAGGTCTTAGTGCTGGAAGACGCACCCGCGGGTATCCGCGCCGGCAAAGCCGCGGGTTGCAAGGTCATCGGCTTGGTCACCAGCCATACGGTTGAGCAGGTGCTGGAAGCAGGTCCGGATTGGGTGGTGAGGGATTTAGGGAGTGTTAAGTTTGTGCCGGAGAGCAGCGGGGAGGGGAAGGTTACTTTGGAGATTAGGGATGCGTTGGTCTTGAAGAACTAGACCTGGAGGTTGGCAACATAAGAACGGAAAGGCTGGGTTGATTGTGGTAGATTAGACTTTGGAGGTGGAATTAGAGGAGAGTGCTGTCGGCGAAGCCATATAGAATAGAGGTTACTCGTTGCTTGTAGACGAATCGGTTGTTGTTGAGATTTCAAAGGAGAGGATATGTCTACCGATTGGGACGGTCGGTCGAATACTCTCCTGCTCTTTGTTTACCGTCAAGTGTAAGAAACGCTCCCGAAGTGAGGCCGAAGCTCTCATCCCTCTCTCTCTCTGTCTCTCTTCCTCTCTCATCTCGTCTTATCATTGGCTTCAGACAACATTCACTCACATTCTGGGTAGATACGCCTCCCAGTCCAACTACTCCTACACTGTACTCCTGCTCAGGGACTGATGTCGTACGACACAAAATCACGCCAAGGCTCCGTCATCAGACATCAGACAGCCAAGACAGCATTATTTATCTAGACAGGCATACCGACAGGCATATAGAGAGAGACATACACATTAGACAGAGGCAAACAGCCATGTCAGACACCCATATGCCTCTAATTAGACACCAGTACGGCTTTCAAGAAATAAGGGTTCGAGACACGATCGCACCACCAAGACAAGACGAACAGGTGTTCTGTAGCCTGGTGGTATATCCGCTCCCGAGTCTCTGTCTCTCATGGTCGAATTGCGTTCGCCTCACATCACCTGTTTCTCAATTCCGACCGATTTGTCACAATAACAAAGAATGCGAAGTCACCCAGGTAGGTAACTTGGGCTCATTCAGAATTATGTGTTTCCATTCAACCGAGCTCAGTTTGTTAACGAATGAAGCGAAGCTAAGCTAAGCTTTTCTCAACCTTTCCCCATCCAGACGATTCCCAAGCGAGCCCTCCCGTTACCTAATGACCACGGCTTATGCACCCGCGTGTTCATCGTTCACCTTCACCTCTCTTCTTCCGGTCCTTGGAAGGGTCGATCTCGTTCACGAACAATGAGGGGGGCTGTTTCATCTTAGTGCCGGATTTCGGTCGGTAAACTTAAATGTCCTGTGGAAACCATGTCTCCATCATGAAGCCAGAGCCTTGGCGTTGAAAAAAGAAAAAAAGGAAGGAAAGAAATAGGAGACTTGATGTCAGAACAACTCTCACTCCCCGTTTCCTCGGTATGAAGTGGCACCCTTTCGTTTTCCTTTTTCGTTTTCGGCTTCCTTACCTATCTACCTACCTACCTACCTACCTACCTATCTTGCCGAGGAGTTCCAAATGGGTTTCTCTTCTCTCCCTCAACAACTTCAAAGACTCGGAGAAACAACTGGGAATTGCCGTGTTACCATACGGTAATAGCAAATGCTCATCTCTGTTCTTTTGCTTGCTTGCTTGCTTGCTTGCTCGTCTACAAAGATAGATTCAAGACATGGCAAGACGAGGAAGAGAAGAGCACACACACCCAGCCACGTACGAGGCTCATCTGAATCTCCTTCCTTGCCCCCTCCCCCATGGTCTAGTCCAGTCCGACAGAGAGAGCGTACGCATGAAGGCGCATCGTATATGGACGAAAGGAAAACCACCTTCGACTTTCCCAATTTTGAGCCTTTTCACCTTGATGAATTCCCAACCATCGGTATTCCCTGTACTGACTGGTACGTGTTCAATTTCGAGGCCCAGTAGTCTGGTCCTTGTGCAAAGAGAGAGTGGAACTAAGGGTGGCGAATTACAGACCACGCTTTCATAGGTAGGTAGGTAGGTAGGAAGGAGTGGAAAACGGGACATAATAGGACAGAAAATAAAAATAAATAAAAAAAGAAAAGACACCAAGACAGAAAGAAGGAGACGCGAAGGAAGATTATCCACAACGGCAGTTTGTTTCGCCTCTACGAGAGAAGGTTACATTCTCACTCATTCACTAAAAAGTAGAATTTTTTCCCTCTGTTTGGACCAGCATGTCAGTTAAGGTAAAAATTAACAAAAAACACCGCACCGTACCGCACCGAACCGCATTGAAACTTGTGACAACGTGAAGTGTACATAGTGCAAGGAAGTGGAAAAGGGGGGGGAGGCTTGCGGTAAGAGGCTTGTCAGACATTTAAGCATCGCGGCATGACGATGGTCATGTGTGTTTAACCAAAGTTGCCAACAACACCCACCACCGCGACTCACCCAACCCGCGCAAACATAAATCCCTCAAGTTTCAAGATTGCAGTTTTTAGTGTATGTACGAGTTCTCGCCGTTAGCGTGTCTCCGTGTCTCTTCGCAAAATCTCTTGCTCTCCAACATCCCCCCAAGCAAGCAAGCAAGCGAGATTCAGCAGCCGTGGTTTGTTTCCGTAGGGCGCGACTCTCATGCCGCCGCTTTCCTAGGTATCCATCCTAGAAGTAAGTACCGTCTTATCGGTAGGTAGGTAGGTAGGTAGTCAAGGGTTATCGTTATCAAAGAAGCCCATTTTCCTCTGACAACCGGAAGATGACGCCCGGGTTTCCTCCACTCAATCTCCCGAATGGGGGCCCCAGATGCCCTCACCGCCTGGCCCCCTTCTCCACGACACAAATATACCGGAATTTCGGGGGGACCCAGCAAGTGAAAACGACAACAGCTTGGGTTTCCACAGCGCATTGTGTCGTAATTGCGATCCTGTTTCGAAAGCTTCACCCGATCCTTTTTTCCTCCGTACTGTGCAAGACGCCGCCTCGACATTTACGACGTAGCGTAGCGTGGTCCCTACTCTGTCGCCTCCTCCCACCTGAGTTTTCCATTCAAAGTGTGACACGACGATAGGTGATGGGCAGGCAATCAGCTCTTGGCGTGCTCCCGTCTAACGTAGGTTGAACTCTTTTTGGCCTCCAGGCCGATGAGATGAGGAGGCAGAGTAGGATACTGATCATCCACCGGTCTCCATCTACACCCAGCCGAAGCCAACTAAAGGCCCCCCTCCCCGTCCTCCTCATGTAGGTAGCTGTAGCCAGGTGTACTAGGCAGCCAAGTTGCCAGGCAGTTGAGGAGAGAGGCATGTACACAGCACTGTGTGTGTGTCCCCCTGTCCAAGTCAGTGTACTTCTGTTCAGCATCCATTATCCGTCCATTCAACGCTCACCACCTAGTCTCCATAAACTCGTCAGTGTCCCATACCCCTCTTCCTTACCCGCCGCCTCGAAGCAGGAAATGTGGGAAGGGGAAAGCTCCCTCTGACCTGCCATTCGTCAACGGCCTCGAACTCCTTGCTGAAGATGGTGTCATTGGCGACAGTACAGGCTTAGCCAATGCCGCCGACCTTTGTGTGGCTTTGTGGGGAGCAACAACATGAGGGGGGGTTAGGTCACATCCGGATACTCCCCCCGAGACAGCAGTCAGAGCCCGTTCTCTCCTTCCATCTGGTTGTCTCTTCTTCTCTTTTCGTCTCCGCTCTCGGTTCTGGGTGCCGAGACATAGGGTGACACGGGTGAGATACCGTGTTGAGACAGAACAGGCGACGAGTAGGGCCAATCGTGTTCGTAGATGTATGGATATGAAGGCGAGAAGGGGGTCCCCGTATGGGGTACAGATAGACCTGGATGAGAAAACACCATGCCTCGTGGCCCATGTTTGGGCGAAGGGAAGAGCTTCTCCTTTCAGTTACCCCTGCTAGCATATTGTTGTGATTCCTGGTAGCCACTGAGCTCTGAGTTGTGTAGTGTATGTACGCTTACCACCCCCGTATTGAAGAGCAAAAGGTTGATCTAAGGAGCTCTTCTTCCTAGGCTGATGCTGATCTCGATATCTCCCAGAGCATGAGGTCGGAGCAATCACTTTGCCCCCCGAGGCCTGAAGTTGATCGATCAGCTGAGCGTTTTTCAACCATCTGCGTGAAACGGTATCTGTGGGCTTGCTGAAGCCCTACCAGGCTACCCTTCGAGCCCGGGTCTGGCCATGTTGTCCGCTGGAGAAAAGACGGGGACTAGGAAAAGACCTTGTGTCAGAACGCGGATTTTGAATTGCCCCCTCAAGCATCGTACGCACTCTTCTGTTCAATTCGCTGAACAGCGTGCTATGAACACAAAAAGAGAAACGAAAGAGTGGAATATGGTTGCAGAGCAGATTGACACGAATGGCTGGTGAAGAAAGTTTCGCGCCGTTGTCATGCCGGTGATGGTCTTCTAGACTGCCCTAGATGTCGACCTTGCGACAATTTGGGGAAATTAAGTCGTCCTGGTGTTCCCGGAGGAGGAGTGGCGGTGGCAACATCATTCGAGCCCGCAGCCTAGACTCATGTCCCGGGATTTTCGTTTTACCCGCAACATTGTAACATTAGCCAAACGAGCCCGTTAGCAGCGATGAATTTTTTTTTCTTTTTTTTTTTCTTCTCTTTCAATTGTTTGCGGCTGAGAATCACGCTGCCATCTCAACGGTTTATATCCACTTTCCGGGAAACCTGTGATATGAGAATCGCGTTCGCGCGATGAATATTCGGCCCAAATTGCGCTTGCGCATCAATTTCTGCTCGTCTACCTCATAGCAGATATTTGTGACTGCCAATGATCGGCAGTGAACGACAATCCAACCAAACGGCAAGCTAGAATTTTGCCCCCAAAGCTCGCCAGTCAGCTTGTACACAAATTTACGACGTTTGTCGAGAACTTGTAGAACTGCCCTAAGACCAAAAAAAAAAAAAAAAAAAAAAAAAAAAAAATTGGAAAAAGAGATCAGAGAAAAGAATAATAAAAAAAGAAAAGAAAAGAAAAAAAAAAACATCGGGACTTTCAAACCGCTCACGCCGTTGGACTGGAGAGCCTTCTTCATCCAGATAGATGCCTGTATGCGTGTAATTGGTCTGATATACGGGCTGCGATCTGTTCCGAAAGCAAGTGTAAGACATTTCGGACTCAGATTGGTGGCTGTTCCTGGAGCAGGTAAACAGCCGCCCAAATTTATCATGAACTGGATGGAGTATGCCTTCATATTTTGGACACTGTCGCACTTCCGCCTGTCTCGACAGGGATGAACATAGACGGAGGGACGACATCGGCCACCCGGTCCCGAAGAACAGGCGGGCGTTAAAGATGAAATGACACTGGAACAGCTCCTGCAAGGTCCCGACTGCCTTTCGTAGGTGATAGAACGGCCCTGAGCTGATCAACCATCATTTTATGAAGCTGAATCGGTTCGTGCGCCAGGATCGG